GAAACGCGCCCGCGTGTTGCGTCATTTAGTGCCGATGATGTCAGGTTTGATTCACAGACTAAACGCAGACACAGACCCTCTGACACGATGGTTGGTGATCAGAGCTGCGGAGCCTCCGATGAAGGAGGATGAATCCGGTTAGACCCTCTGTTTTCTCTGGGAAGAGCTGAAATGCATTCTGGGAATTGTAGGAACACCCTGACTCCCAGTTAACGCCCATGATGTTTGTTTGCTGGGAGCCACGCCGCTGGTAACACGACTAACGGTGTTTCTGATTCGATAACATCACACTGTCCGACAGTCGAGCTGCAGACGTCGTAACGCTAGACGCTAACCTCACGCGCAGCTCGTGGTGTCAGATGTTAACACGCCCTGAAAGAGGCGGAGGAAGTCTGCGTCAGCGTCTGCGCTGATGCTCGACTGTTCCTTCGCCCTCCAAACGCCGGCCTCGGGTTTCCACCTCGCTGCAGCCGCTCTCGTATTCATCTCTTCCTGTTTGTCTTCTAACTTCGGCTCTTTGTGAAGCCAGTAACGGCTCGCAGGTCGTGCCTGTCGGGTCCATGCATCTCATACCGTATTAAGCCGTTTATGACTTTTAAGTGGCGGCAGTCTGAGCCACTCGTGCCGAAGACGCCCGGAAGTCGAAAGACAAAAAGGCGAGGTGGGAACGTGAGGTCGGCCGCGGGCTGTTGACTCCTGACACGAGTCCACGGGCAGCTTTGTACTAGAGCTTGGCGTCAGCTCGCTCGGAGCACTAACCCTGCTGTCTGTGCTTCTGACTCCTCCTCTTCCTCCTCTTCCTCTCTCACCCTGACTCATGCTAGCCAACGAAGACTCCCTTTCCAAGGTATGTCATACAGATGTTTGTTTTGTTTCTCCCCCCTCTCCATCTTTCTTTTTTTCTTTGTTTTCCGTCTTTGTCGTCTGTCTCATTTCACCCAGGTCGTCCACCCAAATACAGCAGCGTCCCGGACCTGGTCAGCCTCACCCCGACCTCCCCCTCCAGCCCCGTCCATCCCCTCCCCCTGCCCAGCCCCAGCTCTGGGGATGTAAGTAACGATGGGGGAGACGGACAGCTCAGAGGGTTGGACGCCCCGTCACACACGCTCCTTTTGGCCCAGTAGCTCTGTCACCATTCGCACTCCTCCATTAGTTTGTCGTCTCCATGACACCCATCGCACTCATCACTTGATTTTACTTTGACTCAGCCTTACAAAGTGAACAGCGTCCTGTAGCGTCATTGATAACTCTGCAGAGCACATTCTAACCCCCCCGTGTGGGCTCGATTAACACAACACATGTCATTAGAACAAGCCCAGACTGTAGACTAAACCAGATCACGGCGCCCCCGCCTTGCCGCTCCGCTGATGGTTGGTGGGGAAACTGATTGGTCCAATTCTTCCTCACAGGGAGACATCCATGAGGACTTCTGCACTGTGTGCAGACGCAGTGGCCAGTTGCTCATGTGCGACACGTGTTCTCGTGTTTATCACCTGGACTGCCTGGATCCACCCCTGAAAACCATTCCTAAAGGCATGTGGATCTGTCCAAAATGCCAAGATCAGGTAACCGCAGCAGACTGATCCTGAGTCAGGGGGAGGGGGTACTGCAGTCCAGACTGTGCAATGTGCTTCCAGCGGGCCTTCTGCCACGCTGGCCTGGACTTTAGGACTGTTCGATCCTTTGTAAGCAGAAACGTGATGCAGTATTGTTCTTTTGTGCTTCTGTCTCATTCATTGTGTAAAGATCTGCATCTCACATCCATCCACCCCATTGCTCGTCCCCGTATCGGCCCCGCCGCAGGGTGGTGGCTAAATTTGTCTTCCTGAACTCTTTTCCGAGCTTCCGCCTCTGTGAAAACTCCCAGCTTCTCTCTCCAGATCCTGAAGAAAGAGGAAGCCATTCCCTGGCCCGGCACCCTGGCTATCGTTCATTCCTACATCGCTTACAAAGAAGGTGACGGCAGCTTTTTCTCGCGTCTCGCGTCTGCCGGGACTGGCGAGCTCTGACCGACTCTCCCGTCTTTGTCTTGCAGCTAAAGAAGAGGAGAAGCAGAAGCTGATGAAGTGGAGCTCAGAGCTGAAGCTGGAGCGAGAGCAGCTGGAGCAGAGAGTCAAGCAGCTCAGCAACTCCATAACAGTGAGCTCAGCGCACGCGTTTATGCCTCGGTCATAATCTGTGCAGCGCGAAAGTTATTAAAAGTTTTCAGCAGGGGGACGACTGTCAGCTGCTGTGATGTTTCTGTGTTTGGATGTTGGATAATTACCTGTCAGGTCCTGAGCGAGCTGCCTCAGGGATGCTGAGTCGGGCTGGTAAGCGATGAAAAGTGAAACCTGAATCCTGCAGCTCGTCGTTCTGTAACTGCATGTTTTAGAGCGTTTCTCCGGTGACGAGCAGGACTGTGCGCCGTAAACGAGCACGGCTCCGGGTCAGACGCTCGTCCTCACAGCGTCACAGTCACGGGGATGTTTACTGTTGTTGCAGTTAAACGCCTGCCGCCAACGTCAGCTTCTGTGACTTGTCACTGCTCGTTATTTGAGGAGATGAAACTAAAACCTGTTTTCATGTTTGCAGAAATGCATGGAGACCAAAAACACCATCCTGGCGCGCCAGAAGGAGATGCAGCTCTCCCTGGACAAAGTCAAACACCTGATTCGCCTCATCCAAGCCTTCAACTTCAACCAGGCTCTGGCAGAGACGGAGGGCAAAGACGTGAGAGTCCCGGACAGGGCTGAGGCCGCGGTCGGCTCTGAAGCTCCGCCCAAAGTCAACTCGGCGGAGAAGGTGAAGGCGGGGAGCTCCTTGGCCGGCGTCATCACCGAAGGGAGCAAGCCCGAGGAGCACGGAGCCGCGGGGAGCCGCCAGACGGGCGGAGACGCCTCCGGCCAGCCCGACAGCACGGTCCTAACGGCAGATAGCGGCACCGGCGTGGGGGCGGACGGAAAGGCGGGGCCGGGGGGAGGGGCTAACACGGGGACCGGTCTCCAGGCGGAGATCGTAGCCAAGCCTGAGACTGAGGTAGCCGCGGCAACTAACGTTCCCGCTTCTTCGGCCGTCGCCACCACCAACGGCACAGCCGAGCCAGCCCGTCCCGATCAGAGCCCCGGCGGAGGCCACGGCGCCAACGCCGCCACCGGCTCTGAAAACAAGACAGCTGCCGCCGACCCCCCAGAGACGCCGGCAGAGAAGAAGCAGGAGGAGATCGCCGGAAGCGATGGCAGCAACACCAACAACAGCAAAACCTCAGAACCCTCCCAGCATTCTTTGCCAGCTCTCGTCAGCAGTTTGGACAATAAAAAGTAACGCGGCGTCTCGTCAGTCGGGGATTCAAACATATATATTAAAAAAAGACTCTTGCTTGCACCGTGTGGTGCCCTGAAGTTGCCAATCTGTATAAATGTTGTTTGTTTGCATTGTATTGTCAGACTGTGTCAATGGTAGATATACAGCCCAAGTCACGTGACTCTGGGAAGACGTAGGCTGTTCCACCCACTGAGCTGGGTACAGGACGGCGTGCGCACCAGTGTCATCATGCCAATTAGCGATAGACGTCATGGTGGGAATGCTCAAAGGGAGATTTAACTCATCATCACACCAGTGTGTGCCTGTTCCAGTGGCCCCTGTTCCCTGCGAGGTGGGGAGACGGTTCACATGGGCACGAAGAACGCCGAGAACGTGGAGCCAAACATCTGTCAGGGGTTACTGGTCGAAAGCAGTGTTGTGATAAATGAACCTGTTCGTGCCCTCGTCCCAACGAACTTAATGTGAACGACCATGAACCTTAACCGTCCGTCCCGACCTTCCCGATCGTCCGACCCTCGGATCTCTTCGGTGAGGAGCGAACCCCGTGCATCCCTTCACTGTGAAAAGGCTTCAGTCTGCTTCAAACACAGAGTGGCACCAACCAGGCGCCGCAGATGCAAAGAGTCCGAGAATCTGGATCACATCTGGGTGTTTTTGATCGGAAGTCAAACGTAGTAGAGTTACGGTGAACTTTGCAGAGAAGCGTTAGCCAACACCGCTCACGCCGAGCGCCCTAACTCACCTTAACCAGGTACCCGACAGCTGGGTACAAACAACTGTTGAAGGGAGCGAAAGATAAAAGGCTGAAAATGGGATTTTCAGCCGCTAACAGCTCTGAAAATCACACCTTAGACTGATAACCTTCGATATCAGCCGGAGACCCTCCTCAGACATCGTCTTTTTAAAGATGGCGGTTGGCGCTTTGAAGCATGCGGGTCTGACTGGCAGCACGCTCATCAAACCACACGTACACCTGGCGGTGTAAACCCGGGCTCACCTGCCCAGGTGAGAACAATACACAACATTATTGCAGAAACCTTAAAGGCCTCGGCATCGTCGCTCTTTTGAAGCACACTGACGCCTTTGGAAAGACTTCCCGAGCGATCCGTAATCCCTACATTATTCCCACTCGCAGTCACCCGGTAACCAAACGGCCCATCCTCTCCCCATCTCCTCCCACCTGAGCTCAGGCAGCAAAGACGCCGAGCGGCGCGTTCGACAGGTACAAAGGACGAGGTCGAACAGGCTCGGTAGCCGAACAGATGTTTTCAGTGGTGTCGGTCAAGTGTAGTGATTGAGTTTTCATTCGTGAGTCAAGTGTGTCAACTGTGAGCACTAAATGTGAAATTGCAATATTGCAATGTCAACACACACAAACTATATCTGGGCTGTGTTTCTTTTTTATAGGAAAAGATATTCAGGTCTTCCTAGTCTTCTTCAGAATAAGTGCTTTCTGTTCCTGAACCTGCTGGACTGGCATTATCCACACACAAAGGAGTCCTCTTTTTGAAGCGGTCGTCTTTGCATCGTGTGCGTTTCTGTTGAATCCTGAACTGCCAAAACGACGTACCCAAATTCAGCAGGGACAAGTCCACTTACTGTATCGAAAGATCAAATCGCCGGCGTTGTAAGATATTTAGATGCTACCATTTCAGAAATTGGAAGTCCCCAGATTGAGACAGGAGAGCTTACTAAACAATAACATTAAAGGAACTTTTTTCCTTCGAACGGAGGGTTCGTCGTACGAAGCTGCTCCTTCCGACGGATCTCAAAGGACGATAATCCTGAGATTAAAGCACAAGCTTGCTGCATTACAAAGAAGTGCTGAAGAGCTTTTTGTATGTTAATATGGAATTAAACAGAGTATGCATCTCTTTGTTGTGATGTGACTTATCCCCCACATTGCCAATATTTTTCTCGGAGGACACACAAACCTCTGACGTGCGTAGTTCCTGTTTTTGGGAGGAGCGGCCCGAGAAGCGCCTTCGTCCCCTCGCGGTCAGACGCGTCTCTTTTCTTTGTGTGGCCGAAGCGCGGCGCTGTCGTTTGTGGCTGTCGGTTCAGGTGGGTCTGCTGAGCCGCTCGCTGCTGGCTTCTTGTTGGGAGCGAGGCGATGACGGTGCCTCTGGTTGTGCTGGAATTTCTGTCGCTTTCTTGCTTTGAGCTGTTTTGGAGCATCGTTGCCCAGGTTTCAGTCGCCGGGCGGCGTCTTCACCCCCGAGTGCCGACGCCGTTTGTTTTCTGTCATCGTGCACGTTCGCTGGGACTAGAGCCGCTGGATGCAGAGCTCCATATCGCTGCTCTGGTCTCTGCAGCTGGTCGAGAAGTCGAGCAATGACCTCGAGCAGTAAAAAGATTTTGTGGCCTTTGAGTCGGGAATCCAAAACGATGGAACGCCAAAGTGACACGGCCAGCTCCAAAGCATCCAAGCAGCACACTGGACGTGCCAGGCGCCGTCTGCTGCGTGACTGAGGCAGGTCAGGAGCTCTGCTGTGCGAGTGGATACCCTGTGGGTGTGGGGTAGGCCCAGCAGCAGAGGAGAGCGTGTGTCAGCCTGTGTTGCTTACTGATGAAACGTCAGTAGTTGGACTTTCCTGCTAACACCTGTACAGTCTCTGGAATAGAAGGCGTTTAGCGACGTGCACGTGGCGGTGACCGCAGAGGTGAACACGCTGCAGGGCGACTGGGGTGACCGTTAACTTCATATCACTACGACCAAGTCGGCATATCGGACACCCGGTGTTCTCGTATACAGACTGCCTTCATTCAGAAGATCCCACAGAAACGTTTCCACGCGTTCGGCCACCGCGTCGCGTTTGCCGTCGGTCAGAAGAGCTCGGCCATTCGAACACAGATGGGAAAGAAGAGCCAGAGATGCAACTCTAACAAAAAAAGAAAAAAGGCAACTGACGTGTCCCCGGGTCCCTCTGAGTATCATTCGTTGTGTTTTGTTGTTCGTCGGCGTTCTTCATCACGCGAGGCTGCGTTCACTCAGAGCAGAGTAGTCATCAAGGTTTTCTTTCAAAGAGCCCGAACTTGTGTTCCAGTCAGACTGGACCTCTCCCTCTGTACAGTAGGTACCTCGAGTGCCTTTCTTCAAACAGCAGATAATATTTGTCTCTTGACTTGCACTGTGACTTGTAGAACCTTACTAACCCCTCCGTATGACCCTCCGGTCCCCCGTCCCAGGAGCTCCCCCCAAACTCCGGAGCACAACTCGGTCCCTCCACCTCAGGCTGCCAGTAGTCAATGCAAGTTAAATCTACATTTCATATATGATGCCGTTTGAAATCGACCGCATAGTGTTTTGTTGATGTTTAATAGAGGAGTTGCCTTAAATGTGTTTTATTTTCGTTTCTTTCTGTGATTAACTTTTCCATTCGGAGAAAAACAAACACCTGTGCAGACGCGAAGGTCAGAGGTCGTTTGGTGAGAAGCAGTCGGGGTTTTCCCGACGATGATGATGATCTACTCGGAGCTGTGTTGTGATGCACTTTTTGATTTGACCAGTATTATCGGACCGGGATCGGTCAGCAACGCAGAGCGCAGGTGTAAATCCCGGTTGCCCAGATTTCCTGGCTGGACTCGCGTTCGTTTTATTTTGAAAGGTCCATTGTTGCTTCTGCACTGTTCCTGTTCTTCTTCGGCTTCAGATAACGCCCGAGTTTGCTAAATCAGGTCACATGAGGCGTCTGGCATGATCAAACTTTGACCCGATTAAGAGCATCTGGCAGTGCAGCGGCGGCAGCGGAGCGCATGCCTTTTTATGCAAACTTTGATAATAGACGTGTCGAAGCGTTTTTTTGATATGCATCTGCTTTTATTTTTACGTTTTCATGTGAAACTCGAGTCACTTTCTTTTCTTTGGGCGTTCTGGCAAACACGGATGCCAGAGCACGCCGTTTAGGTGTTAAACGTTGCAGCGACCATCTGCGTTCAAAGGGTTTGTTCGGAATCAGAAGGTTTTTCCATGGATGTATGAAGAAGAACTGGACACCTGTTCTCCACTGACACGGTGCCGTTTGTGGGGCGGTCCTACCGCAGAACGCTTACCGGTGATTGGTAGAAGTAGCCTGTGGATTTGTTCGACCAGCGCTTGGTTCAAACATGAACGCAGTCGACGGATTGTGTTTCTTTCTGGGAAGTTACCCCAACTTTGACCTCATCAGCACCTTGTCAGTGGAACGCAGGAGGAAGATCATCGAAAAAGTAGTCCTAGCTTTGTCTGGCTCGTGGGTTAAGAGAGAAATCGCTGCTCTGATTGGTTCTGCTTTGTTCAATGACTGTTTGATTCACGGCTTGGCCGAGGTTTAGGTGATGCCGGGCTACAGAGCAGGAGATCTGAGCGTCTGCCCTGCATCAGCTCTCTGAATACATCCATGGGTTTAGGTTCTTCGTTGTAGTCTTGATTTGGCTGATGCGGCGTGCCGACTGTTGGGATCCCAGCAGAGCTGCGAAGGTTCGGGGAGGAAGGCTCTCTAAATTGCTTCTCAGTTTCGATTTCGCCGAGCCGTCCGGGTGAACTTATCCAAAGAACACTGAGAGCATACATTTCGTCTCTGCATATCATACGGATGTCGTTTTCCTGCGTTGGCATCGCGCTCGTGCATTCCCGCCCGTGGTCACATTAACCGCTCATGCATTCTAAAAAAACAAAAGACTGTGCTGGGGGGTCGTTCCTGCGAGGTAGTTTGCTCCGACTTTTAAGTTGTATCAGTTTTAAAACGATCAAGTCATGATTGTGGCCTTCTAGTATTCTGTCGGTACATGACGTCATTAATCTCTCGTGCCCGCCCGCCCATCTGTCTGGACCCAAACGTACACCTGCAGCTTCTTACCTCATCCACAGCTGATTCCATCGGGGTGTGTTTGAGTGCAAAAAAAGAAAAGTTCAAAAAAAGAAAAAACAAAAGTCTTTTTTTATCTTCCATTTGGTGAGATGCATTGTAGCGATATGAATAAAGAAAAAGTTCACCTGGTGTGCTGAATAATGTGTAAATTGGTAATTACACAATCTGAATATTTGTATAATTGTTTGTATTTTTTCATAATGATTTTGGAAAGGAATGTGTTTATTTTTTTGACTTCTGTTCCAGATGTGTCTTCTGTTGGCCTGACATTGTGACTGGTCTGGTGGGATTCTTACCTCTGTATTGAGCCTCTTCTGTGATGAATTCTTTGTATGCAGTGTTTAGGAAATACTGTAGGGAACATGGGGAGGAGTTGATATTAGGAGCATTTGATCAATTTGTATTTATTTATTTTATCATTTTGTTAATAAATTGTGAAAAGCAGACCGTGTGGTGCTTGCCTGTTTATTTCTCCGGCTGTTTAAGATTAAGAAAAAAGCCACATTCATTAAGAACAAATGTTTGTATAGTCCCTAATAATAAAACCGCCGGCCCCTGTATTATAAATGAGATTTATAATTTATAATTCCTTTTTTTAAATCGTTTTTGCCTTTTAATTTGATTCGTTTCGTAGCTTTTGAATTATGTATATTAGATTTTCGTGTGTTTTTTTCCAGATATTTGCGGAGTGGTGAGATGAAATGAAGAGAAGGCGTACAGCCTTTATTTCTCCTGTCTCTATGAAAAATGTCAAAGTAAAGGAGCTGCTGTCTGAGACTCAAACACAAAGCCATCGCTGTGGATGTGAGAAAAGACAAAAATGTTTTGCTTTTTTCTCGTTTCTAATCGGGAGCCTGATCGGGTATTCTCGCTAAACATCGGACACAAAGGAAGGTGCTCGTCACACACTGTAAAAATGCGAGAGTTCAGCTCTGACTGAATCCCGGCATCATTTTTAAACAACGAAGATGACTTCCGGTCGTTTGTCGTCCCGCGGCTCCGTGCCCGTGTGCTTCCCGGACTGAAGCGTGTGGCGAACTTGCCAAACCCTAAAAATAAACTCCCGTATCTGAAACCCGCCAAAGGAGAAAAGCACCAATCAGATTTGAGCGTCGTGGTGTGTCATCTTTATATACAGACCCGTGAGCCCTCTCCCACGAGCAGCAGAGTGGCGCAGCGGAAGCGTGCTGGGCCCATAACCCAGAGGTCGATGGATCGAAACCATCCTCTGCTATGGCTATTTTTTTCCCCCTTTGCCGCCTCTTTCACACCGTCTGTGCTCCTGCGCTAAACTGTCCGTTTTGTGTTATTTGTTCAGTAAAACCGCAGACACCTGATGTTCCGCGTGTGCCGCGTTCACTGAGCTCCGCAGACATTTACCCCGAGCCTCGTGGACGCGGCGTAACAAACTGCTAAAAACACGATCGAACTTTTTCCATATCAGGCTGAACAAACCGGCAAATGTTCGCCCGAATGTGTAACTGCACTAAAAGATGAGACGTGGCTAAGTGGCGCCCCCTGTCGGAGGTGGAGGGTCAATGCCGCTGGAGGTGTTGAAGACCCGAGGAGCAAACCCGCCTGACCGGGGCATCAAAACACCAACAAGCCTCCATCCATCAGACGCTTAGAGAAGCTCAGGAGGAGCTGCTCTGTGTCTCTGTGGATCCAGAGAAAGCATAAGAAAGGACAGCTGGAAGGTGGAGGTCAACCATCCACAGGCAGGTGGAGAAGGGAGTGCAGGCAGGGTGGAGACCAGTGTCAGCGATGAATGCTTTGCAGACGTGGAGGTCAGCATGTGCAGAGGGAGACTGGATTTATTAGACAAAGGATGATGAAGATGGAGAAGAGGAGGG